TGCAGTCAGTACTGAATATAAAAACGGAACAGAACATAAAGTTACAGCTTCAGAATAAATGTAAATAAAGCCTAGCTGCCTAGCTAGCGCAGTCCATCTACTGCACTTTAAGATTCTTGGCTAAGAACACCAACATGTCGACATTCTGAGGTTTCAGGGAGGAACGCTGGCAAGTTACAATGTTCCCCCCTGTACTGAAAGCCCTTTCTGAAGTCACTCATTTCTGTCTCACTCATTTCTGTTTTTTTGTACTAATAGTCGCTGACGTCACTCTTTGCTAATCAGTGCTAATGCTAACGCTTCTGTAAACATACTGCCGTGAGTGTTGCCAGGTATACTAATTATAAGCCACATTGGGCTTATTTTTCTGTAAAGTTGCTTGGCAGTAAGTAATAATGGTTGTTGCGGTTGTGAGCTTGTAGATAGGTTATTTTCAAATAGCCGACCCGACATATATAGGTTTAAAGTGCTAATGTCCTTTTGCGCTTGTTTTCATAGACCTGGTTGCTTATTCCTTCCGCAAAAACTGGCAACACTAGTGGCTGCAGCGTTAACACTGCATGCGAGGAGGAGAGACAGACAGAACACTACCATTTGAATGCGATCATGGTACTTTAATGTTAAATGTATAGAGTATATTTGCTTTACATCGTTTAAGTGTGATTGACATTGCAAGTTGGTATTATTCAGAAGCAAAATAATACAACATTAAAAAAAAATAAAAAAAATCAGCATGACGTCATAGGATCGCCGTAATTTAGAAATGAGATCGAATAGGTGTCTGAATCGAGATCACGATCTTTTATCGATTAATCTTGCAGCACTAATTACAACAAGGGATTATTGTGACTATTATATACACATAGATATACATCTTTATATATACACACAGTATACACCTACACACACCCTCACACAGTATGGATCATTTAGTAATGCTTAATAGGTGTAGCTTTGCCACAGCAGTTTCATTAAATTCACACATGGAATCAGCAACACTGTCTTCTCAAATCATATTTAATTCAAAGAATATATATATATATATATACACACAACTTATTTTGAATTACATTACTTCACAAATTATAATAAATATAGAACAAAATAACGCATTCTGCAATGTAAAAATCAAGGGAAAAGTTAAATGTCAGAAATCTTCTGCGTAAATAGAAGCTCTAGGATGTTATCTAAAAAAAGTTAACATATTATTTTGGTAGCCAAGACTTCTGTAAAGACTCTTTCTACCATCAGATGTGCTACTGAATGGGCCACCATCCAATGTCTTACTTATTGAGTCAGTCCCACTCCCTTACACACTGACATGAGTATTGATGGAGACACAAAGCCCGTTAGTTTCACATGGAAAGATGTTTGTGAATGGGTTATTCAATACTGATCAATAAGCTAGGCCTCAAAAACTTGATGAAGCCATTCACCCACCGTCAATAACTTATGATTTATTAATTTAAATTCTCTTGAGCTTTGAGTCAAGCTAGTTCATAGTACTTCCCCGTCTTTGGATCGAAATAGCAGTTCAGGCAAGGATCATAGAGCAGATTCAAATACTCATCCTCCTTTTCCTGTTCATTCAGCGACTCATCCCGTCCTGTTATAAA